GAACTGCTCAAAGCAACGCCAGAGATCAACTACAAGGATGACGACGCCTTCCTGACCATCTTTCTGCGCGCCACCCACTTTTATCCGGAGAGCGCTTTGGAGAAGGTGCGTATCAAATGCCAGAACAAATCTTAAGATCTCAAGTGAAAAGTGAAGTTTCCCTAAAACTGAAATCTACAACAAATTCAAATCCGGCAAAGTGTTCAGCTTCGAGGACCTTTTTATACCCTGAACCCATTAAAAATGGGTATAAGGGTATATTGTCTTTGTGCAAAATCCAAATGTATGTTACAGGCAGAAGGAAGCATCTCCGACCCCATAAAGTATATATATTCTTGATCAGCACCAATAGCCGAGTCGATCTAGCCATGTCCGTCCGTCTGTCTGTCCTGATGTCCGTGTATGAACGGAAGGATCTCAGAACCTATAAGAGCTAGAGAAATTTTAGATGTAGATGCTCCTAGCTCCCACGCAGATCGAGTTTGTTTCCGATAATCGAAAACTTACTTCCAAGCAATCGATAAAAATCGATATCGATATCCTGTTTTTTGGGCAATTTTGGTAAATAATAAGAACTAGAGTCACTAAACTTGACTTTAAGCTTCTATAAAAGAATATATATATGAATTTGATGTTGGAAGAAGAGGGTTAAGAGTATCCCCTAGTCGGAAGCTCCCGACTAGAACCTCTTGTTTTAACTGTGATAAATTGAATAAATCCTTTGCAATTCCTGCCGATAGCTAAAGATATTTCAACTCCGTTTGACCCCAATATAATTAGAATGCGCTTCAGATATCGCATTCAATATGAATATTTATGGCATTAGTTAACTTATATATACTTATATATATATATATATATATAACAATTGCTAACCACATTGGGAACACACATATGCCACTAAATAATCCGATCGAATCTACGATCCAAACAAGATCTATATGAATACTTGGCTTATTACAAATCTATATACGATTTCGCACAGTTATCGTTTTTGACTATATAAATTTCATTTAATTCATTTCGAAAACATATCTATCTAAATATAATCCACATCTGCTTTACGTACGAAACTTTCACTTGCTTCACCCACATATCATCCACTCGGAGCATGCGTTTCGCATTGCATTTGTCGTAAAACACTTTTGTGGATCGCCTTATCAGTCAGCCTGACATACCCAATGACCCCCAATAAGACAACTCGCTGCACACAGCAGAGACAGGGTCTACAACCTCAGCTTTGTGTAATCTGAGCGAAAACCGAGCTTCAGAAATAAAAACAACGAGACCTAGTAAGTAGAGCTATCTGCGCATGCCGCAGTTCAAATACCCTTGGGGCTGTTAGAGACAGGGTATTTTAAAACAAAGCTTAATTTTGCAAACTTTTACAAACTGTGACTTAATCTTTCATTTAATTAAAATTAATTGATTAAATCCAATGGCAACTATATGATATAGTGCCAGGTTTGATCAAATTATCTATAAAAAAAATCAACAGAATATTTGTTCTTAAATAGGGATTAAGTTTTCGCCCGTTCCCATGGCAGCTATAGGATATATATATAAGGCAGGCAGTTTGATCAAGATATTTTTAAGGCCAAAACACTTAAAAAAAGAATTAAGGTTGTGTATTAAAGTTGAAGCAATATAATATAGGGTTCCGAAGTAGTTCATATTCATATTTAAGGATCATAGTGAAACCTACAAATGCCATTTTTGATCAATATATCTTTGGAAACAAAGATAAGGTCTTAGATAGAGATTTTATATTTTTTAATATCTTACAGATATATGATATCCGTTCAAATTTCGCACATAAATAGAGATCATGGGCAGCATTGATATCTCAAAAACTAGTTGGGCTTTTATACAATAACTTTATGCTCGAGCTATACGATATAGATGTCCCATCTGGCTGATCAAGAGTATAAACATAAATTCCTTTTGGTTATAGAAAAGAAAAGGAATAGTCAAGCTATTGCTACCTTTCAGGAATATATATATATCAGAAGAATATATATATGTTCAGGAATATATGCATATTCATTATAAATCTCATCCATTTCAAGCCAAGTATATCAGAAGAATATATATTTATGATCGAGATTATATAGATATACCCCTTGCAACGCTTTATCCACTTTGAGCCAAGAACTGTAATACCCTCTACAAGGTTATAGAAAAGAAAAGGAATAGCTTGACGGATCGCCACAATTGTCGCTAGGCCGATTTCAGACGTGGAACGACGATTCTCGTATTGATACGCTTTGAACTCGCTGACACACATGGAAAAAAAAAATAAAATAAAATAAAACTTAAAGCACAAGCGATAAGCGTTCCCCAAGTATTCCCATTTAATATACATGCGTGTCTATGCACACACACACACACACTCTCGCACACACACACTCGCACACATTCAAATGGATGTTGAGTAGAGACTAGTAAAATGGAGCGAATAGCTAATGCAAGCGGCTGCTGTTGTTGGCCCTGACGTGGCTTATGGAACTATTTGTTAAATTCAATCAAAAACCCACGCGCCATTTTTTTTATCATGAAATAGTTTTTATGATCGTCGCCGAAAGACGCTGTTATCAGGTGCCATAATTTACCTGTTTGCCGCTGTTTTGCAGATGAAAAGCACCGCCGCCTTCCGCAAGGAATACAAGGATTTGGTGCATGGCCTGCAGGTGGAGCAGGTGAAGGAGTGCTTCATCAAGGGCAGCGTCATCAATGTGCTGAAGAACTGCGACCAGAAGGGGCGACGCGTTCTCATCGTCAACTGTGGCAAACTCTGGGATCCCAGCACGGTGCCCAGCGATGAGATGTTCCGCATGCTGTACATGGTGCACATTGCCGCCCAGCTGGAGGAGGAGACACAAGTGCGCGGCGTCGTCTGCATCATGGACTTCGATGGCCTGGCCATGAAGCAGGTGAAGGCGCTCTCGCCCAGCTTCTCGAAGCGTCTGCTCACCTTCATACAGGACGCCATGCCGCTGCGCATGAAGGAGGTGCACTTTGTCAAGCAGCCCTTCATCTTCAACATGGTCTGGACGCTCTTCAAGCCCTTCGTCAAGGAGAAGCTGAACAAGCGCGTAAGTTGTCCGCCTCCGCTTAATGCATATTTTGTTTGCCTGACAAATTGTTTCCTCTCAATTCCAGATGCACTTCCATGGCAGCGACATGAAATCCCTGCACAAGTTCCTGGATCCCTCGGTGCTGCCGGCCAACTACAAGGGCGCCTTGCCAGCCATCGATTACGGCGGCCTCGACTGGTTCCCCGCCCTCGAGCAGCAGTCCGAATATGTGAACACCTGGAGCGAGCTGGGACCCGCCGAATGGTAGTTAATCAAAGTCCTTGGGCAGCCAGCCCAACATTAGTTTATGTGTGTAATTATAAATAAATAACATTTTGATTAGTTCTTAGCACTTGACAATAAACTAGTTACATAATGCAATAATCCGAGACTTTCAATCAAAAAACGGAACTCAGAAAATGAGGCATAAATGGAATAAATAGAAGGCGCCAAAACGATTCAAGGTCAGAGTTCAAGCCTATATTTAGATTTGGTCAATTGGCCAAAAAAGAGCTAAGGAGACACAAAACGCGTTTGTTTCGAAGGGAAGACTCTGCCTCAAAGCATATAATACTAGAGCTCCAAACATGGAACTTATCTAAGTATATTTGCCAATTTGGGCTAGAAGTCAAATATAGCCCGCAAGTTCGCTATGAAAATATATATGTCAGGCAATATTTTCAGTAGAACGGGCAATAAATTCAAAAGACAAACAAGTTTTGAGCTAAAACCTGGGCTTATCGCAATATCGAGGCAGGTTGTCGATACAACAGGCGAGCCGAACCAGCGACTTTCTTTATATTGGTTTGCATGATATACTGAAAAAAACAACTCTCAAATAAGTAGCTAAGAGTGAAGAGCAAAGCTGCATGCAAATTTCAGATCTACAGGTATTGAATATTTAAACAACTTGAATATGCAATATGAGCCTCATTCTGGATAGAATTCTCTCAGTATACTTGTTCTTCTATTCATAAACAGCGCGAATTCAAAATTCTTAAAAGAGGACTCGAAAATATCTCTAAGCAAATGCAGTTATTAGGAAAATTTGTAACCAAAATCAATCCAGCTTGCATTCTTATATTCGTACAGCAAAGGATGAGAGCTTCAACATATAAAGGGTATACATATCGCTGATAGCCCTCATCATAATAATCTGCACATATATCCTATTTAACACTCGAAGTTCTAGATTCCAGTTTCTGTCTCTTATGATTAGAATTCAAATTGGGTTTAAACAATAAACCTATTACTTTTCAATTTGGTAGTAAAATATTTTCTAAAATCGTCTCATGAAGCGTCGACCCCATCTATATGGAATCGGTTTATACTCTTAAATGAAGTTTTACACTTATATTTCAGTCGAAATGTAAATTCAAGTCAATTTATATAATTATATATTCATGCACAAATAAAGCAAATATTAATTTTGATTTTAAAGAGCCAATAAATTTTCTTCGATTTGATTTATGTACACGTATTTATTTAACTATAGTTTCTGTTGTTTCTAAAAGCTTGCTAATATATTGCGATATTTCAGATCTTTTAAGCGCATCATAAATCAAATTGCTGAGTTTTGCCCTCCTCAGCTCCCAAATTAGTTAATATATTAAACAATCGATTTCTCCAAAAACATATTCTGAACATTATTTTCGGTACAATTAAATAAATTATTTGTATCTACAGTAAAGTTTGTCTTGCTTCACACGAGATAATCAAAGAAGGATCAATATAACAATGTTTCTTTTAAATTATCAAAAATCGAGTTATATTATGCATATATTTACAGAGGGAGAGAGAGAGATTGAGGCAGGATATAAGAAATTCATACAATCATATCAAAAGCTTCCCCCGCAGCCGCAGCCGAATAATTGAATATCACGAATTCGTCAATTCCAATTTAAGATAATTGTTATTATAGAATAGGATACTAAATACATGTGCTTTGTTTATTGAACGACTTCGGACATTCCAATGTTATTATTTATGATCAACAGATGAGTTAACGAAAATTTACAATGTTCAATTTTAGTTTGTGTGCTTGAGTAAAATCATATCGATTATCATCCAGCTAAAAACTACGTCGGTTTAACACAATTAAATATATAAGCGCTAAAAGTTGAGTGGGTGCCGTACTGAGGCCAGGACACACAACGCTGGCCGTGGGCAGCAAAACCAATTGAACAATATACAATGTTTCTATATATAAATAAATATATATAAGAATAACACCGAAAGTATCCAGCAGCCAGTTTTGTATACGTTAACATCTTCGTTCTAAATTTAAAAAATTTCTCTGGCCAGCCGATACGGACTCTGTCGTAATTTACAGTATCATAGTTTGTGGATCCTCCATGTAGTCGCGGAAATGTTGAAGCCAAACGGCAGCCACAGCGCCATCGACCACTCTGTGATCGGCACTCAGCGTTACGGTTAGCATATTAACTTCCTTGAATCTAGATTTCGAGCGTAAGAAAAGCACAAGATAAGAGCCGAATAAATGATTAATTTATATAGTTGCACTACCCCTTGTCGCTGTCCGGATCCAAAACGAGTTTTTTCGTTGTTGTGCCAATGGCCAAGATGCAGGATTGCGGTGGATTGATGACGGCGCAGAACTGATTGACACCTGCAAGAATTGAGAAGATTCAACGAAATGCTATACAATATGCATATAATGTGCTTACCGAACATGCCCAAATTGGACACGGATATGGTGCCGCCCTGGAATTCATGTGGCTGCAGCTTGTTCTCGCGCGCCTTGCCCGCCAGCTCCTTTACGTTCTTCGAGATTTCCAGCACACCCTTCCGGTCGGCTCCGAAAATAATGGGCGTAATGAGCCCCTTTTCTGTAGAGACAGCGACAGACACATCCACATCGTCGTATTCCCTAATGAATGTGTCCATCCACGCCGAATTGGCTTCGGGCACTTTACGACTGGCGACGCCCACAGCCTTGATGATGAAATCGTTAACGGAAACGCGTGCGCCCTGCTTCTCGTACTTTTTGTTCACTTGAGCGCGCAACTTCAATAGCTGCAAATGAGAAAAACCAAATTGTTAATCTTCGATTCAACGAGATTTTTATATCTAAAAAGAAATACCATCTGTGCCCTGAACATTAGATTAGCATGCATATTATATTAGCATATCTATCATAATTGCCAGATTATTTTGGAACTTACCTTGTCCACCTGGCACTCGACGGTGACATAGTAGTGTGGCAGTTTCTGCTTGGACTCCAGCAGGCGCTTGGCAATGACTGCGCGCATGGTGGTCACTGGGATGTCCTTGAAGCGGGCACCGGGCGCGGCAGCCGCCGCCTTGGCAGCTGGCTTCGACGCTGGTTGCGAGGCTGCAAGATCACCAGATTTAAGTGAGCCATGGACGCCGGAACCTTTGCCTGCACAAAAGGCCAGGATTAGTAACGAACAGTTCGAGCAGTGTTTGGATTAGTGGAGATGCGGTGCATGCACACAGCGGGATACGGGATTAGTGATAACAACCTTGTAAACGCAGCTTTTGAGTTTCGGCTAATTTCTTGGCCATGGGACTTGCATAGACACGACCGCCGCTTGGCGCGGAAGCGGTACCTGGTGCGGCAGCTGGACTTGGCGCGGGTGCTGCTGGCGCTGGTGCAGGAGCGGCAGCGGCAGCGGGTGCCGGAGCCTGTGCAGCTGCTGGTGGTGGCGGTGGAGGCGCTGCAGCAGCAGCAGCAGCCGGTGCTGCAGCGGGAGCATCGTCAACGAAATCCTTAAAGGCAGCAATGCTGGCCTGATCGGGCACAATGATGCACACCAGCTTGCCAACGGGCACATCCTTGGAGCCGCCGGGCACCAAAATCTTGGCCAGATAACCCTCCTCGGGCGTCTCGAAACCCATCGTGGCCTTATCCGTTTCGATTTCGCATAGCAAGTCGCCTGCAACAGAATAGTCATATTATTTTATACAACCTGATCAATAAGCAGATGGATATCTTACCTTCATTTAGCTTATCGCCCTCCTTCTTCTCCCAGCCCACAATCGAGCCGCGATCCATGGTGGGCGACAGGGCAGGCAGCGCCACGCGTATATGGTCCGGCAAGTTGGCGTAGGCACGGGCAAAATTGTAGCTCCATGGCGACAGTGTTTGGGGTCGGCTGAGAATCGGCTTGCCATTTGGTGTTAACCTGCAATTGAACACAGATTAGGCTAATCATTTGGATCGACTGCGATTGACAGGCGCTAACAACAGCTGATGGCTGTTATCGATAACACGCAAACAAAATGTAAACAATTGCAGTTGGCGAATGCCAATCAGAATTTTGTTTGAAAATTCGCTTATCAGTGGCGATTAACCAACGGTATCATGCGACGCTCATTTGACAGTCACGCACTGGACGCACGCACACGCACACAAGCACACACACAGAATCACAGACAGGCAGACACACACACACACACACACACACACACACACAAGTGCATATTGGCACCCGCTGCCCGCCGGCCAAGCAACCCGCCCGCCCACTGGGCGGGCTATGCGCTGCAGCCTCGCATTTGCAATATTACACAACACACTTTCTAACCTCAACGCGAGCGGTCGCCACAAGCTTTGCAGCCTTTTACCTGTTTGCCAAATGATTGCGTGTGCTGCTCAAGGCTCGGACTCCGCAATTGGCTCCACGTCGCACCGCCTGTGCCCTGAGAAAGACGGCGCGTAGGGCGCCCAATTCATTTCGTTTCGCAGCGATTGAACGTAACATTGTCCTTATTTGTCTGGTCGACGTCTGTTACTGTTCTTTTAACTGAGACGCGATGTTATTGATATTTTTGTATCAAGTTGAGTAGTATACTACACGTTTAGTAATTTAGAGGAATCTAACGTATCGAATTCGGAGTCGAAAATTTTAAACCAAGGGTTTGCCAGCAGCCGACCTTATTGAACGCCACTAGGTCACAACTTGCTAAGACGACTCTGTTTATTTATTTTTACGCAGCCCTGCTTGCTCCCCAGCTAACATTACTGCTCGCCAATTAATATTTGACAGAAATGCTCCGCACTATTCTAAATTTGTGAAGCAACTCTCGTCGCTGCTCCACACTTTACATGTTTGCTCCACAGAGAGAATATAACAGGTAGTTCGATATGGCAAGGGCAGCTATCGATTAATTTCTTAATAAACTCAGCAACCAACGATTTTATTAAATTTTAAAGAAAATTAACATTGCCCACTTAATGTTGTATTAAACCCATAAAATTGCATTTCAACAGCAATTCTAATTCAAGCCCATCAATTTACTTGCAATATAATCTCACATGCTGATATGCATCTGCTGGACAAGGTCAAAAAAATGCTTACAGTGGAAACAAGGTTCTTGCAACAACTCACTTCTCTAGTTTATTCTGACAAACAAAAGTTATTGTTGTTTATATTGTGGTATCTTACGTTTTTATTGTCAAAATATATATACAAACAGATGTTCACTTGACGCAAATGTATATACATATAAAGAAAAAATTGTCAAAACTCAAAAATAAGACATTTGCATAAAGCGGCGTTGCCACCTGTCCACAGCAGGTGGCGCTCAGCATTAAGAGAAGTCAAATTTTGCAATGATAAGAAAAAAATTTGCGTATTTAATATTGTTTATTTTGAAAGTTTGATTATTTATACATATTTGATGAACTTTATAAATCCAAACAGCAAATGCAAATCAACGCATATTGAGTGTACTTCAACATGTGCCGGGTTACGAGTCACACCAGAGCACCTGATGAAGTACAATAGACATGGGAGACATGAAACGTTTGCCATCTGAGGGAGGCCATGGAGAGCTTAAGATGAATGCGTCTGGCCACCACGCGCGCTACTTCAGGTACCTGACTGTGGGATAACCAAAACCAGCCCCGGTCACTGATTAGCGCGCACGGTAAAAGACGGCGCAGCGAGTTAGGGGAGAGACCAGACCAAGATAAGCCCAACAGATGTTGCCAACTGGTCCGAAGTAACTGCTTCTTCTTCTTCGGCTGCTTCTGCTGCTGCTGCTGCCGCTGCCACTGCTTCGACTCCTAAAGTCGCGCAGGAAACGACCTTGCGCGCCGTGTCCATGCTGAGCTTTAAGGTTAACGATCTCTGTATGTGTTTGTGTTAATGCGACGACGCCGATGACTTCATTTCAAACTCACACCCATAAAAGCCGATACGTATACGTGCACACACATATATATAGCCCATTATGTGTAAGCTTTTTGAGCTGAAGCTTTGTCGCAGACGTCGCTTTAACCTCGTCGTTTCTTACAGCAGCCTGCCTGTGAGAAATTTGCTGCTTGACGCAGATTTATGCAATAACAATGCTAAATTAGTCATATGTTTTTCATTGCGCACCTCGTTCTGCCAGGCCATACGTACGCACAAACACATACATACGTGCTCTAATGGCTACATAGTCCACACTCCAGCGAATCGGATGTGACGTCATCAGTGGGCCAAATGCGAAAATTTACATTTTTAGTTGTTTGCAGCAACAGTTAGTCGCAGTCATATTTGCAGCCAGGGACCCTTGATATTCTATATTTGAAACGCTGTAAAGAAAAAGCCAAGAAAGCTGAAATGAAAAAATCCAATATAGAAAGAGAAACGAGAAAAAGAACCGGCGTTTCGTTCGATGCTCTCTCGCTCTCTCTGTTACTAAGCGCAGCAACGCTACGTGCGTGATCGCCGACAAACACTCTCGCACACACATATACCTAGCTGGCAAGTTTTGTGGCGCAGCCGAGACACACACGTGCCCCACTACATTCGCGAATTCTCTCGTACATATGCATGTATATGCACAGACACCAACACGCAGCTTACTACTGCAGAGAGAGAGGGCATAAAATCGAATTTGCAAACGCGTTCAAAGTATTTCGCCTCTTGCTCTTGCCTCTTGTCTCTCTCTCTCTCTTTCTCTGCGTCTTGTCTTTTGCACGCTATTCGCCAAAAAGGAATTAAATGAATTGCCATCAGCTACACTTTTGTATTTTACAACGGCTCATAAACTTTAAGCCTCTCGCGCAGATTGTGGTATAATGAACTTGGACTTGCTGCCGCTCAAGTCTCTATATATGTATGTATGTTGTGCCTGTGCGTGCCTGTGTGCGTGTGTGTGTGTGATGTGTCACGGCGGCTGCTGCCGCGATCGCGAGCAGCTTTTGACTGCCGCGCGTTGTGAATAATTGCAAATTTTGTTCGAATGTCGTTTTGTCGTGCCCAGCCGAGTAGTATATGAATTTGTGTGTGTGAGGCATTTAATTGTATATGTATATAGAAATGGCGACGACGTCGGGGCTGCCATATGTATGTGCCATGCACATATGTATGTATCTACATATGTTCGTATAGATGTACACATATACACATTATATATATATATATATATATATATACATAATGAACAGCAGGCTGGCAGACATGACTGCTTTATATGCCAATCTGTATGTGTGCCTTGCTTGGGTGGGGCATTCCTAACCTCAAATAGTAACAATGCGCCGACGACAGCCGAGTGCATGTCTATCTGTCTGAGTGTGGGTGCTGCCTGCTCCTCTCTTTCTCTCGCTCCGTCTCTCTCATTTTCTCGATGTGTGCTGCAAAATGCAAGCACATGCTTTTCAACTGAGTACGCCCTTAACCCTGAGTTGGAGCTTGCTATCAAAAAAGTTTCGCAAGTCCGATCAGACACACACATGCAAAATTGCCGAAATTGTTTGTGTGTGTGTGTGTGTGTGTGTGTGTGTGCGAGTGTAACGTCGCCGCGGGTCTGGGCAACATTTTTGTCTAAAATTAATATTTGAGCGACAAAAAGTTCTGTGTCTGTTTGTGTTAGTGTAGATTTTGGTCTCGGTGTGCGTGCGTTTGTGTGTGGGCAAAAGAAATTTGGAAATATGTAGAATCTACAATTTGTAGAATCATGTGGTCGTCGCTTCAAACATTTTCGCTGCTATTTGCGTCACTCTTTCGCCGCCGACGGCAAGAATTGTAGTTGTTGTCTCTTTGCCTCTTTGCGTGAGTGTTTCGTCTTTGTGTGCGTACCGAAAAATTTGTTGTTGTGTCGTTTGTTGTTGTTGCTGCTGCTGCTGCTGGTGCCTTGTGATATCAAAACGCTAAAAATAAACCCAACCTCAACTAGAACTTTTTCAAGTCTTCATTTTAACGAGCATTTGGTCCGCTTTTGACCAGCGTTAATTCCGTTCAAATGGCAGAAAAACCCAGAAACAATTACGCGTCGATGACGCCGCCTCCCGCCCGCCTGTTCGAGAACAAGCATTGAATTTCACAATATGTTCTGTGTCCGTTTTTTCTCTTTTTTTTATACATTTCTCCTTTTTAACTTTGCTGGTCTTATATTTCGTTCGCACTAAACTTCCGTTGCACTTGGCCTGCGTCGCTTTGGCTGGTTGAGCTTTTTTTCTTTTCTTTATTGCTTTAATTGTTCACACACACGCGCGCTGCAAAGTTTAACTTCATTTTCTTTTTAGTTGTCCGTCGCTCATTGCACACAAGCACAGAACATACACGCACATATATATACGTATATATATATATATATGTATATGCAGAGAGACACAATCGGCCACTTGATGTGCAAATGGCCGACTGTGCGGCCGCCTAGAAACGCCGTGGCCTTTTATTTTATTTGGTTCTGATTTTGACTTTGCCTTTTGCTACTTGCTATTTTGCCAGCTCTCTGTCGATTGAGCAAAGCGAAGCGAACCGCGCACGCCGGCTGTTGGTGATCAAATGCTCAATGTTGCTGCTTAATCAAAAGCCGAATGCGCGAATTTTATTTCGCACTGCCACAAAGTCGACGCTGCTGTCGCTGCCGCTGCCTCTGCCAGCGTCGTCAGCTGTCTATGTGTCTGCAACACACACACACACACACACACACTCATACGAAAGCAGCAGCCGTATGTGTTGCTGTTTCTTTCGCTTCCTGCTTCCTACACCGCGCTTTCCGCTCACCAATACATATGCACACGCATACATTGCATGTACTTTTTGCCCAGTTCTCACTCACGGGTTCCTTTGTTATAAAACTGGCAGGCACCACCAGCCGACTGACTGCAACAAAAAGCACGCACAGTGGGCCCTATAAGAATGTTTTTAGTTTCGATGAAATGATAAATTGGCTAACCCCCCTTAAAGATTCTATCGTTAAACTTTTACCATTATTGTTGTTAACAAAACAAGTGAAGCTTTAACCAAAAGCTTTCCAATTAAATATATGTAACTAGTACTGTAATTTTTCGATCCTGTTATTTTGTTGTTGAACTTTTTTCCCATTGCATACGAGTTTCTTATTGACATTTCCATACATGTGCTCATATATCTTAATATAAACATTTGCAATAACAACTGTGAGCGTCGATTCTATATTGCCCATCTTAATTTACAAACAGATGTTTAATATAAACATTCAGATATAATCGTCAAAATGCAACCCATGCTCATTAGCTCACAAGCGCCATATGTACTTAACGGTACTTGTGCTACAGTAAAGTACACTGTTTCCACTCTCTTGAAGTTAGTCATTTTTATTTTATTTTTTATCAGAACACGAACCTGAAAAGCAGCAGATAAATTATATAATATACAGCGTTATATGATGGGTTGCTGAATCGCCAGTTATTATTTGCATTTCACGAATTAAGCAATGCGCTAATGAGTCCATAGAAATGCAAGCAAGTATTTTATCTGGATTTCTAAAATAAATTTGGACAGATTAAAAAAAAAAAAACAAATAATCACATGTATTTTTTGGTTCAGTGTGCTTTGGGGGGCTTAAGTGTATTTCATAACATTTAAGATCCATTTTTTGTTCCATTTTGCAAATTCATTAATTTGTAATAAAAATTATTCAAAATAAATTTCAATCTGACTCCATAAAGCTTGCATACAACCTTTTCAATCATTCAGTTAGTCAATCTGTAATGTAAATATTCAAACTTACACGATTTTCTTTGTAAAAGCTTAAAAGCGCCATTTGAACTTAAAAGCTTCGCCTGCCTGCAGAGACTTGCATGCACCACTGTGCGACAGATTGATGTCTGCGTCTGGTAGGGCGGAATTGTCGCTGCCCGGCTGGCTGCTTCGCGTGCTGCTGACGTCGCTGCCGCTGCCTCTGCCGCTGCTGTTGCTGCTGCATATGCTTTTTGGCCATAAACGTGGCGTGCAGTCGCAGTGACTGCCATCGGCTGCGTCCCTCGGCTTGTGCAGTTTTTGTGTCTCTTCAGCCCCTGTCCGCGGCTCGCTGCTCTCTGCTCGCTACCTGTCTGACGCTTTGTTTTTTGTGCTTTGGTATTGGTGTGGCGTTGCCGAGGAGTGTCTGGGCGGCAATGTCAATGCGCTGCTGCTGCTTCTGCTGCTGCCGCCAGTTGCCTGCCTCTGCCTCAGTGCCACAGTGTGCACTTTTTGCGATGCGCTGTTGCTACACAAACCGCCCCAGCACCGCGCCCGCCCGCCCGCCTGCCCACAATACAACTACGTCCATGTAAACGCGTTGGCTTTTCTTGCCCGCTTCCATGATTCATCTTGGGGCCCCTGAAGTGATGAGCTCAGTGGTGAACAAAGAAGAAGAAGAACAAATCTCAAGACGGCTGCGGCTGGTTTTTTTCTTTTTTTGTTGTCTCAACATTTGTTCGCAACTCGAATATATATATATGTATATATATTTAAGTCAGAATCAGAATCAGAATCGGTATTGTGGAATTTTCACTATTATCAATTGGCTACCAACAAATACGTGAGGTCTTAAGCGCTATACACAAAATATATAATATGAAGTCTCTATGGAAATTAGGAAGAGTCCACCAAGCACACCTGGGCGTGCTTCCAACCACGTGGCTAAGGTGATGCGCTCGGCTGTGCCGGTATAAAGGGCTGCCAGCGCAGACAGGAGTCGTCGATTTTGGGAAATGTGCCGCGACGCTTCACGCGCTCCTCATACTCATCCAGCACATCCTACAGAAGGGGCACACAAGTTAGTTAGCAGACTCAAAAGAACGATCTTCTTTGACTTACCTGCTTTTTGAGTACTATATGTTTGCCCTTCCAGTACTTCATCATGCCCAGCGCCTGCAGAGTGCTCACAATGTCATAGGAATAGATGGCCATTTCCTGTGGGAGCACAATGGATGCCATGATCTTTTAACTTTGTGATTTTATACAATATTCACCTGGGATACGTCCTTGATGCAGAGCGTATTGCCGGAGCGATTGCATAGATAGTCGAGCAGCACATCCTTCCAGTAGGAGCGATATGATATAAGTCCCAGATCGGACAACGGCTTCTCCGGCGAACCAATTTTGCCCTCCACGCGGGTTAGCAGATAGCCTGGTAAAAGCACATTAAACACATGCCCATAAGTATGCTATAGATGGAACTAGCTTTCAAGTTCCGGCGCATTATTTATGGTGACCAACTTTGCCCCGCCCACATGGCCCCAAACGAACCCAACTCAGCGTTGTGTGTTGTGTCTAGACAGGATTCCGCAAAGTGTGCGTCCCCAGAGGGTGGGGGAGCGACGACAACAACAACGACAACAAAAACAACAACAATAATGACGACGACGGCGGCGGTTGGCAGCCCGGCCACATGAACGACGAGCGGCGGGCATTTAAACAACGTTCTGGCGTGCATTCAACCCAAAAGCTCAACCCCCAAAGCTCGACGTCGCCGTCAGCGTCAGCGTCACCGTCGCTGTCATCGTCGCCGTCGTCTGGCAGCAACAATTCTTGAGTCTAGATAACAACAACAGCAACAATGGGTGCAGCACGTAAATCAACGAGGACGAGCCCGGCATGCCCTCACAACACAAAACCCACTGAGGCAGGCTCGGGAAAAAAAGCCAACAACACATACACAAAAGTACGCGCTGCGCGCACACACACACACACACACTCATACATATACGAACGCTAGACGCACTCAAGAGCAGACACAACTGCAACTGGTTGAGTTATAGGGCGGACGGATGCCTTAAGAGCGGGCGGGCAGCGGGTTGGTTTAAACAGCGTGCGAAAGCTTATGCTTCAGTTGTTGTTGTTTTTGAGTACAATGGGACAAACCAAATGGTGAATGATCTCTTGCGCTCACAGCTGTGCGATATATGTATGCATATCGATAAGATTATGCGTGCCACGGTTGGCAGCACAGTTTATCGATAGGCACACATTTGTGGCGTCACAACAAACCAAACATATGTGTGCGCCAATTTGTATTTTGCAGTAAACAAAAATGAAGTGCTCTGTGCGAAATTGCGATTCTACCAGTTCCATCGATTGCAAAACAATAAGTTTCTTTCAATTGCCGAAGAACAGCAAAACAGCCAAAAAGTGGTTGCTTTTCTGCGACAATCCGAAGCTGAAGAACAGGAAAAGTACGTTTGTGTGCTCGGATCATTTTAGGCCCGAGGACATAGGCGGCGGCGGCGCACTCGGAACAGGTTTGTAAGCAAGATTAACCGTTAATTAATGAACAGTTACTAAACCCAAAATATATATTTATGAAGCTATGTGCAGACGGCGACTTAGAATAGGCGCGATGCCATGCATCAGAAAATCAGATAGCGTGCCATCTAAGGAACGCCTCAAAGGAAAGGAACAATGCAACAGCGAACGCTTAGAGAATGATCTTTTAGGCAGTTCAAAGGTCACAGAAACAAAGTCTGAGCCGGAGGACAATGAGGCTATGCAGGAAACTCAAGCATTGTCAGAATCATTGCGCTCAGCAAAACTAAAGCCAGACAAATTTTTTGATAAATTGGATACGGAAAGTTCAGAAGCTGTCATTGATGAGCTAAGTAACCAAGTGTAAGTTGAATTAACGATATAAATAATATTTAGCTATTAACTATTGGCTTCAATTACAGCAAAGATTTGCGTTTGGAAAACTTTCGCTTACAAGTCAACATAAAGTTGGCCCAAAAAAATTACAGAGCCGAAATCAAGAAATTAAAAAATAAGTTGGAACAGGCTAGATCGCAAATATTACAGCTTGAGATGCAGCTAGAGGATAACAAATAATAGTAAATAATAAATAATAGATAATAGAAAAAATAGGTAATTTAAGATAACCTAGTTTTAGATGCCCACACCTTGTTTTTCAATGCACATTCTTTATAAAACATACATTTTATAAGTCAGAAAAATAATTTATAGTGTTACTCATAAATTTAAAATATTTTGCGACAAATTAGCTTAAGAAGACAAAAAAATATACAACAGACTAGAATTAATGTCAATAGAATCAAAGAAATTTTGTGAATTCTGTCAGTCTTAGTGTCATTCCAAGATATGCTGAATTGTCAGAGAGGTGCCTTTGAATATACGATTTTTGCGCAAATATATAGCCATATGAAAAAGTATTAGCTGAATTGCCTCACATTTTACATCGTTCCACTTTAAAACCTGTGCGTCTCACTGTACCTATTTATGCTGGCAAAGCTCTGCTGAAGCTTGAATGTACGGTACTCGCATACATATGCAGTCGCATTTTGGGTAGCATTTTGATTTCTTTGCCTACGTCGTCAGCAGCTCTCTCTCGCTCTCTCGCTCTCTCTCTCTCTCTCTCTCTGTCTCACTCTGTCTCTCGCTGTCGGTCTTCGTCCTGTCGGCGTGTGTGTATGTGTGCCTGCTTGTGGGTGTGAGAGGCAACGTCGAGACGACTTTATCGATCCATGGCTGATTCGCATTTCTGGCCGGACTGCGCAATGTTGCATACCAACAGGCGCATGCGGTCGCCTCGCCTAGAGAAGCAGCTTGCAACTGATAAATACATTTGGATTTTCCCAGCAACAGCAAACATAGAAGTTGCACAGCAAACAATTAACAACTTGTGAATCTTAGTCAATTAGCGTTGCACTAATTGTTGTTGTTGCTGTTGCGCCGGCTGCAATTAGCGAAAAGCTCGTTTACCGGGTATACGGTATACGATACTCGACTACTCGACTAGCTACAAACGATTACTCGACTGCTCGCCCGCTGCACTAGCACGCAGAGGACGACGCCCTTTCATTGTGACCTGCGCTGACCTTTGTTGTCTGCCGCTGTTTGCGCTGCTTCTTCTTCTTGTTGTTGTTGTTGCTGCGTCGCTGTCTGCATAAGTTTTTTTTTTTTTGCGAGCTTTAAGCGCTCGCTGAAAATTTTTGGGGCTGAAACTTTTACAACGACGCATTGTGGTTGGACTTGATTTCATTAATTAATACATTAGCCAGTAGATAAGGGCGACCCTAGCTGCTGCTGCTGCTGCTGCCGCCGTTCTGCACATTTGCATATTGCGTGCATGCAGTTATTACACCTGGCTATGCTATGTACTCGATACACGTATATGGCCATCTCGCTCGACTGGCTGGCCTGGCCGGCCTGGCCTGTTAATGAGCCAGACATGCCGGCCATGCTGGACAGACAGAAACAGGCGCTGTCCTTAACCCCTGTGTTGTCCCCCATTTCTTGGCCGGACACCTGTACTCCAATACAAAGGGGCCAGCACATTTTCTGGGTGTTGCTAATAATGACGAAAACTGTTTGCTCTCGCACTACGTTCGCTCTCTCTCTCTCTCTCGCTCTTTAGTTCGCCCGCTTTCTTTCGCTCCATCTCGCTCTTGCTCTCCCTCTCTCACTCACTCTCTCATTCGCTGTCTGTTTGTTTGTGTGTGTAAGGTCAATGTCGTTTCGTTCGTTCTGGTATGCTCTCACCCCCACCCCCCCGCCTCGCACCCTTTCCGCTCGCATTGCATGTATCGAGTTTATACATAGAGACCGACGTTGACGCCGTTGCCATTCATCCAAGCCGCGTATGACTCAAGTGCTCGGACCTGGTCTGGGGTAATTCTTTGTTTTTTTTTTGTGCGTTTTGTTGTTTTTATTATTTTTTTTAGCTGCTGCTGCTGCGCCCGTTGCTTTTTTGTCTGGCGCTGTCTTCGTCCATTTCAAAGGCGGATTAATTTTAAACAATTTTGGTGGAAACAACGATAAAAATTACTTATGCGATGCATTACACACACACACACAGCGTTATGTGTGTGAGTGTGCATATGGACACACCTGCAGAGCTTAGTCTAGGCTTAATTGATGCAGAAATTGCATGCACCGCTCTGCAGCATGGAAAGCCAAGCTCGAATGGTGCCGGAACCAAAGCCATAGCCATAGACTGTCTATACATATATAGCTGGCATGTTGCTTGACTTCTCTCATGCAATGATGATTAACTATATTGCACTAGTCAGCCAAACATAAACCAATGACTCACACGCACACCACGTACCCACTTAAATCGATAGGCGGCTCATTAAAGAAAACGAAAAAAAATGTATCTAAATGAATGTAATCCACAAAATATTTTCAATTTTCTCTCGCATTGTTCTAATATGCCATTAAATTCCTAACAGGTGGAATATTTGTCTAATTGTTAGAAAGCAGTTAAGCTGATTTCTAGATAAATCGATTTTAGATAGACATATATGTAAGCGAGGGTATTCGTATTAAGATCTGATGTCAAGATTCGAATGAAATGACTCAAAGAGCATTAACTCAAGTCTTGTGAAATAAATAGTAAAAAAATAATGGTAATAATACTAACTCAAATATAAGTATAACTACAAAAAAGATGTATATCTATATATATACATATATAGATTCAAATAGTTATAGTAATAGTAAAGTTTTGAATCATTTTAAATTGATTCGAATCAATGTTAATTAAAGGAGTAAAATGAATATTATATAAATATTAAGAATCAGTTCAAGTGATTTCAAATTGTTTAGATTTGAATTATGTAACTAAAATGTATAAAGAGGAAAACCATTTGATTGGAAACCAAAACAACGCCCGAAATAGCTTAGAATATGCATCTTTCCTCACAAATAACAATGTCTATGAATTATTTAAAATATACAAAAGTCTAATAGAAAAGTTGACAAGAAGTTTCAGGTGGAAGCTAGTCGAGCCATGTATTAGAAAATTTGAAAATTCAAATACTGCAAAATATTCAAAATTCTCTAGAACTCTTAAACTGATACATAATAGAATTGGTTGAAAAGCAAAATACATTTTTCTGCCTTTGTAAATGAAGTTTAAGAATTGGAAATGTTGATTAGACATAACTACAGATTTAACATCTAGTCAAAATAAACAAGAGCTCGCATTTAGTTTGTTCACACTCAAAATAAAATCATTTGCAGTTGAAAATCGAACCTCTTTACATGTCAGGTTACAATAGGAACTCCATGCAAACATATACTACATCTATATATACCCAGACATTGCTTAATGGTATTGCTTGAGAAAAGTGTGCCCAGTTTACAGTTTAAAATTGAGGTTATGTGCGCGCGTGGTTAGCTCAAATTGAGGTTATGTGCATTTGATAATTAAATTTGTGGTTATGTTATATATTTGACCCATTGATAAACGGGTCTTGCACTTACTGAAATCGATGAGGAGCCTTCCGTAGCCTTTACGCTGATATGGCGGCAGGGTTAGAATGCACGAGACGTTATAAAATGAGTTTTTTTCCTGCAAGAATGGAATATGCTGAGAGTCGATATAAATGTTATTCAAGGTTTAACATGGGCTGAAAGCAATTTAGTTTTTTTTAGAATTTATAACAATTCAAGACTACACATTAATCATAAACTAATTATTAAGATTATTAGAAACAATTCTAAATGAACGCAAGTTAACAATAGTTTGAGATTTTCATCAATAGGAAAATGCTTGAGGCCATTCACACAGAAAAGCCAATCTGCCGGACAGACAAGCCATATAGACGGAATTGTTGGTAGACTGAGTGTCAGACAGTTCTGGTTGGGGTTTGTCATTTATCGCTTCTAGCTTTTTCGGGAGTTCAATGACCAGGCGTCGCAGGAATTGAATCGATGCTCTGCAGCGTGCGATGCGTAAATACAGATACATACATATACATACATGTGTATATATATGTCTATGGGTATATAGAAATCTGGTGTATATGGTATATAAGCGTAAGGGGTTTGCACATACGCGCTTGTGGAGTGCGGGCGAGACATGGAGGCAAAGAGACGAACCAAGTTTTGCGACTGCGACTCGCATCTGTGCACGGCGGGATCATGGGATGCGGATGCGCTTGTTGCGGGTGGCAGGGGCTGCCAAAAAAATGCGACGTTGTCTGCCGGCTGGGTGTGAACCAAAAGGCAACAATTCGCAATTCGGAAATACATTTATGTACTTTGAATTTGTATTCTTTGTTTGCCGCCGTTGTCTGCCATGATGTCTGGGAACGCACATACGCTGCGCTGCTGGGCTTGGCCGCGCCACCCCAACCAGTTGGAGCAGGCGCACGACGTGCAGCCGCCGCAAAACAACGAGCAAAAACCGTCGAGGTGCACGACCTCAATCGTGTACGCCCCAGCATCAGCAGCAGCAGCAGCTGTGGCTGTGGCAGCGGCAGCGACAGCAGCAGCATCCCAGCCAGGCTGCCTGCCCCAATCCGTCATGTCTGGCTGCTGTCTGGTGCCAGCTCCATTGGCATAGTTGCGCAGTATGATGCCGCATGGTGGCATGGCCAAGGTACTACACAAAGCATTGCCAAAAATTATCAACATGCCACCGCGTCCGGGTGTGAGCCATGTAAGCTAGACACCCAAATTGCGAGTAGTGTGTAACCAGCTGCTGCTGCTGCTACGGGTTTGGGATGAATGGAATACAGACTCCGACTCCGGCTCCGACTCCGATTGCGCCGGCACTGGGACTGGGCTTGGGACTGTGCCTGTGCGCAGCAGCCCGGCGCGACATGCGCAATTTGTAACACAAACCCAGTCTCTGGCAGCGCCCAAAAAACTTGTATGCAACTGCAGCAGGGGGCGGGGATGGGGCGCGATTGGGGGTAAGAGCCGGAGCTGCAGCTCCAGAGCGCCGGGCTAGACACCATGTTCAGGGGGAGGTCAAGAAACCGTGCGCACATGCCAGACAATATACTTTGTTTTTCTGCTTTTTTTTTTTGTTTTTTTTTTATGGAGTTGCTGGGGAAATCTCCACTTTGTTCAGTTCGCCGCCTGCCACGCCTCTGATAGTGTCAGCTTATTTACTAACTCCTCCCCCCCCTAACGCCTCGCGGTTGACAAAACAATTTTTGGGTATGGTCAAGAATGCTGACTGTCTGGGCATATAGCGGCACGTCTATCGCGCCCATGTATTACATGGATTCTGGCCCTGGATCTGGCTTGGGCTTGGGCTTTGGCTGGGTCGTGTCTGCTGTTGTCTGAGCTGTGCACGGCTCTCGGCTCTGTCTGCGCACATAAAAGAATCATAAAACTGTGAAATGGTATTATTCAATTTGATGGCAAGTAACAAACTAAAGTTCTAGGTATTTCCAGCAAAAAAAAAAAAAAACATAATTACTCCTGGGCTGAGTTAATAAGATATAGATATGGAGATAAGATATGGATAGATATGGAATAGCTTGGATTTATCTAAGAAATAGTATCTGATACTCAAATGTCTTAAGTTATTTGAAAGTATTTAATTTTTAGCCAAAACAATTCGTTTTTATGAATTGTATCTAGACAAAATCTGGTCAGTATTTTATGGGTTTGGTTTGATATAAGGAATGAGGATTCATTTAATCTCATTTAAATTTGCAGAGGCTTCTAGATTTGGCTAAATAAAACACTTAACGATTGATGTTAATGTCAAAATTTTTAAAATTTGTCTTGTGATAAACAGTTTTTTAAACTCAAATAATCAATCTAAAGGAATTTTTATATTACTAGTGGGTATATCCCGGCCTTGCCTATGGGACGTATTAAATGAATTCTCTGGATGGAATTTCCCGAAATGCCGTCTTAAGGTAACTAAAGTGAAAATTTCAGTTTCCTAGCTCTTGCGGTTTACCAATCAGTAAATCAGGACAAACAGTTATATATATAGGGATAATAATGCTACTCAATTAAGTTATCAATAATACTTGTTGGATGGTAGCCAAAGGTAACTATATTATGCTATAGGAATACCTGCTATGAATACCTGAGTTGTGCTCAGAAAACCCAAATTAAAAATCGATGCTAATCAATTTCGTGGAAGCGCGGCCAAAATAGCCTTTGTGCTCACTCAAAATGAATTCTCAATTTAGTCAGCTCAACAATTATTATAGTTTATAGCTATATTTAAACTATAATAACATTAATAATTGAGCTTGGCTAAATAGCTAAACCGTTTCTATAAGCCATAAGCTATATAGTTAATTTGATGACAAGCTGCGCGATGTCTATAGCATCAGACTTTACATTTCTTTTTTCGTCAATGCGCATTCTGGACCTAAAGTCAACTTTATCAATCAACTATTTAATTGGCCTTCAAATCGTTTAAGTCTATCCAAAACAAAATTGAATTATAGATCTCTCAGATCGTTTCACTGGACTTAAAGAGGACTAATTATATAAAGCTCGGGGTAAAGTCCGAGCATAACAAAATATAAAATATATCCAGACAAAAAACCAAAAAGCTACAAATTTCATTAATTTTCCTATACAACAAATGTCAACCGAAACCTGCTGACAAAATTAATTAATCTGTTATTAACTAAAATAACAAACTGCTGTGATTAACTCTTAAATACTAGAGCTCAAGCTCACCTTGCTGAAGTAGCCGACAATGTGACAGCCATCGACATCGGCGAGAGTCATGATGTAGAAGAGAAACGGCTCCACGTCATAGTAGAGCGTCTTGTGGTCCAGAAAGAACTTGGCTAACAGGCAGAGATGCTGGCAATATTGTTTGTAGCGTTTGCCATCCACTTGCCACACCTGAAGCTTGCCTTTGCGATAGATTTCATCGCCGGGCGGATGCCGCCAGACGCATTTCTGGGCATGCCGTTTGATGCCCGTCTCCGATTTCTGATAGCGCAGGCAGAACTCACAGATGTACATCTTGGGCAGGCGGGCGGCATCATCCGGATACGGCGACTGATACCACACTTTCATTTTGTACTTGCCCATGCTGATATATCTGTCGAATATGGAAAATGCAGTTAGATATAGCATTAGGCGAATCGAAAGTTGGCCAACGCACTTGATGCCCTTGCCAACGGGCAGATCCTTGAGCTCGTCCTCGATACGCTCGGAGGCCTGTGCTTGTGCTTCGCGAAACAGCTGCAGATCGTAGTCGGGCACCAGGCCCGCGAGATTCGGCTCACGATCCTCATCCGTGCAGTCCTTGTCTATCTTAACCTGGGCAATGAAGAAAATACATATATTAATTACAATATGAAGCTTAAGGAAGGACACGGCATACGCACCTTATCATTTAGGAAACTGTTGCTCATGGGACGAAAGCTGGCTCGTGATTCGCGTATTTTGGCCAAGAACTCGCGTTGCTCGGGCGTCAGAGATTTGAGATTGTTGTGCTGGTTGCCCGGCGTGCTGACAATGTTGATGGGCATCTTGAGGCGCTGCTCGTTGCGCAGCTTGCGCTCGTTGGCGCGCTCCTTGCACTCCGAGGCGGACATGTTGTGGTAAATGGGACACGCCTCGGGCAGAAAGTGTCGATCCAAATTGCCGCTCAAATGACCCGAAGAATCGCAGCCCTCGATGGGGCACTTCTTCTCTAGCTGCACGGCGGGCGAGACGGGTCGAGACTTGAGCGAGGTCATCTCCTTCTTCACCTTGCACTTGCTGTTGTTGTTGCTGTTGCTGCTGTTGAGGCCGGCGGCTGTGGCCGACTTTTTGGCCGGACTCTTGGAGAGAACGCGCTGCTTGTCATCCTCCTGGTCGAGATCTGCATCCGTTTCGGTCTCGCTGCCTGGCTTGAGCTGTTGCTGCTTGGAACGGCGCATGCTCAGCGAGCGCGTCAATTTGCGCATGGGATTCGCCTTATCCTTGCGCTCCTCCTCGCTGTCGCCGCCCGCGCCAACGACACGCTTACCCTTGGGATTTGACTTACCCGTCGCCGGCTGTGAGCTATACGAGTTGCTCGAATCGCTACCCTCCGATTCGCTTATGGAGCTGGTCTCCGAGCCGGAGCCGCTGTCCGAATCATCGCTGCCATCACTGCTGCGACTCTTCTCGCGCCGCCCAGCAGCTGGTCCATTCTTGTTGTTGTTGCTGCTGCTCGTCTTGGCCTGCAGCGCTTTGGCGCGCATTTGCTTGGCCCGCACAGCCGTCGCGGTGCTGGCCAGCTTTAGCGGCACCTTGCGTCCGTTCTTTACCTCCTTGTGCGAGTCATCTGTGCTGTTGGAGGAGGAGCTGAGCGAGGGTCGTTTATTGTCGCCATTGCGCTGCGGCTGGCTATTGCTTTTGGCCGGCAGCGGCGCTTTGCTGCCGCCAGCTGCTGCTCCGCCCGCCGCTTGCTTGGTCGTCGCCGCTCCTGTTGATGGCTTCCGTCGTGCGGCGGCAGCTGGCACCGTGTTGTTCATTGTGCGCGCATTCTTTTTGGCCGGCGGCGCATCGTCGTCGTCATCATCGTCGTCGCTGGACATGCCACCGTTGCGCTGATTGCTGGCCGCCACAACGGAACGCACTTTGCTGGCGGCCGACGTCAGCGCATTGCTGTTGCTGTTGCCTGCGGCTTTTGGCTTCTCATTGTCGGCTGGCGTTGCTGCCGCCTTGCGCCGTACTGCGCTTGGTTGTGTTTTTGGCGGCTGCGGTTTTTCCTCTGGGCCGGCAACGCCAGAGCTGCTCGTATCGGTGTCCGAGGAGCTGCCCGTATCCGTGCAGCTGGAAGAGCCACTCGACGATGTGCTGCCCGACGTGGAGCTCGAGCTGCTGCCAGTTTCCATGTTGATAAACAAAACGTAAATAGAAGTGCGTTACAGCCGCTTGCAGCGCGGCAATTGAGCTTTACTCTACAGCAATAAAATGCTTTTGCAATAAAATGTACACCGCGCTCAATTTGCGTATTTATTTGTTAAGATTCGATGAATAAATTTGCAAATTTTATGTTTGTGTTATTTTTGCACCAAAATGAACAATTCAGTTGTTCCGTTCAGCACTGAACTAGTTCGCAGTGGCACTTACCGCTCACAGCTGAGTCAGGTTGCAATCAATTTAGAAGGTAACGCACGCATTTTGCAATTCTGTTACCTGTTACGTCATAGAAAATGTGATATGAACAAGAAAGTATTGTTATTTCATCATAACATTAATAATGCTGCACATTTATTTCTTAAAATACATTTTTAGCGGGAAGAAAAATTAAGGTCTCAGACAATCAAATATCTTTTTAGCAAATTGTGACGCAATCTCTGTTCATTTTGTATCAGCTGTGCGCGATTACAACAACAATCGTTACAAGTAACAGTTATCGCAGTATTGCCCATCTCTAATTGCTGCACAGCTGTTTTGCTGCGCTTGTTGTCTGTGGCATTTGTGTACTCAAATTTGGCGTCCTTTTGAAACGCATAAATAAAATAAACAAATTATTATTTTAAAGCATTTTAAGCATTAAGCTATACACATTTGAAAACTACGATGTACAACGCAGAATGCATAGCTATAAAGGATATTAAGCCCGGACTGAAGAACATTAATGTCATTTTCATAGTACTTGAGGTCTGCAAATGTTATCGATAATCAAATAACTGCATGGGCAAGCATTGTGTTTTATGTTTATGTTTATAAATATATGCTTTTCTTACCAGGTGGGCGTCGCGACGGTGACCAAAGAGAACCGCGAGGTGCGCAACTTTAAAGTGGGCGATCCCACAGCCAGTATTAATGTGTCCATTTGGGATGAGCCGGGCAAGCTGATAGCTCCGGGCGATATCATAAGACTGACCAAGGGCTATGCGTCCATTTGGCGCCATTGTCTCACGCTGTATTCCGGCAAGAATGGCGAGGTCTTCAAGATCGGCGAATTCTGCATGATATTCAACGAGGCGCTCAACATGAGCGAGCCCAAACGTGGCGATCCGCAGTCACCTGCTCCACAATCTAGCATGGTTGCCGTGCCCACGCCCGTCGTGACTCCCGTGGGCGTGGTAGCCGGCGCCGTGCAGCCAGCTGTGATCACAACGCCCGCAGTGGTTGTGCCGCCCACAATCGTCAAGCAAGCGGCACGCGGCGGTCGTGCCGGCACAGCACGGGCTGGAACTCTCAAAGCGGAGCGCAGATGAAGCGACGATAGCCACAGGTAGGACAGGTGGTCACCGGTCGCATTGGACGGCAAAAAGCTTGAAAGCAAAATGGTTATTAAAGTATGTAAAAGTTTTATTGCGAATCGTGGACAGACAAAAGTTTATGAAACAATATTTTTTCTTTGCGACGAGCGATTGTATCTGTAAAAATTACATACGTACATACAAAATAATGATAAATAAATATTGTATTTTCTTTTTTTTTTGTAAGACAAGAACTAATAATGTTTGTGTGTGTGTGTGCGTGTGTGTGAGTGTGGAATTAGCTTAAGCTACAGCTAGCCGCAACGCTTAGACCTTCTTCTTCTTCTCGTAGTAGGCCTGAACGGCTTTCAGCAGCCAGCCAACCTCCTCGACGGTCTTGATCTGATAGTTGGCATAGGTCTTCAGCGTTGGCAGCTCCGAGACACGGAAAGTCTTGCCAATGCCATGCAGCACCTTAATGGCATCCTCGTCGGTGGTATCATCGCCCACATAAATGATTTTCAAGTTCTTGGCCCAGTCGGCATCGAAGTGCTTCTCCAGAATCATCTTGGCGCCCTCTCCTGCAAATAATAGAGGTATTATTAAGACTATTTCAACAACAGATTTTGTCATTGGCTTAACATTTGGTTGGCTCGCTGCTGATAGTGTTACAGCATTTGCATAACATTAACATGTAATGTTAAACTTAAGTATCTCTGTGTAAGTAATGTTAGCTTCTAAATGCTGTTACTGTCACAATATAGCGTCACATTAACATTTAAATTTTAAAGCTATTTACATGAGGTAACTGATCCCAGTTCCTTTTAAATATTCTTCTCTCATCTTAAAATTTGTATAAAATTGCTCCATTTCTGGAGAATTAAATCTCTTGATAATTAATGCAGATCAAAAGTGGTGCAAACAACAAGTTTCTTTTTTTAAATATTTTGAATAGTTCACTCGCTATATATAAATCCATAACCGCCTGCAGCGCCAACGAGCCAGAGATTTATCTATGTATATATATATATCTATATGTTCAGTATCTACTAGGCGTTATTTTTAGGCGTCTGCGTGGGCGTGGAGTGAACAAATTGTGTTTGGCCTGCGGCCGCTCAAGTAAATGTATGCAAACCACATTTAAAAAGCATTCAACTACACACGCATCTATATATCTATATATATATATATATCTATATACTGTATGATCTGTAGAGCTGCCTTTTGATTATTTTAATTATGCTAGCTTTTGGGTGTTTGCTTTGTTATTTGTTTTGTTGTTGTTGTTGTTTTGCAACCTATTAACGCTACATTTTTGTTTAATTGATGACGCATTAGCATTCGTGTGTTGCCTGCGTCCCGTGCCGTCCCGTGCCAAGTATTGCATTTTTTCCTTTTTTTCAGACGGCACCAACAATTCGAATCTTTTGTTGCCATTTCATAGTATGCGCTTGGCAGGCTTTCATTTTTCACATTAGAAAAAGCAAATAAATATCTGAGCATCGCTTTGCTCTGTCTATAAACATTTTGTTGTTGTTGTTGTTCTCTACTCTTTTGCAATATTTGTTGTCCACGAGAAATTTATTGCTCCCGAAGGCGGGCACAATCATAATTAATTTTTAGTTGCCATTCGTAAAAATATGCATATATATATATATATTTTTTGTCTTTTGAATTATGCACATTTGTCGCGGCTCATTGGAAATGTCTTATTCGCTTTCAGCTAGACCAGATCTTATTATTATTTTCTTTTTTTAAATCTACTTTGTGTCAGTTGCAAGGGGAATTGTTTTTGCGATCTACGCAGATTTTATGTTCTCCATTGGGCATTCATTTGGCGAGAGATAAAAACAGATTTCGCATAAATTTCAAATTCCAGATCTAGGGACATTTTAACATTTATAATGGGACAGAAGTAACAATATGTCACAAAGTGCAATGCTACAATTAACTAGAAATGGTTCAAATATAATGTTTGTCTATATTCAAAAAGTCTTCAATAAGTTTGAAATATGGAAACAAGTTTTCTTTTTGCTTTGCCTATAAAATCTCAAAAAATTCGAAATTTTAAAACTTAAGCAAGACAACTGAATCCAATCTAAACGAAATGCCCACGCTATATTCAGTTTATGTTTTTCGATCGAGATATACATGAATATATATGCATGCACAGAAACATGTATATGCATCATTTGCTAAAAATGTTTCGAATTAGTTGCGCTTAGCTTAAGCTCTAAAAAAATAAAGAAATACCAAAAAAAAAAAGTGATCTTTCGTTATAATTACAAGCGTATATAGACCACAAAGATGGTTTTTTCGTGCACAATAAATTTGGATCAACATCAACTCGAAAGAAAACAATTTTTTGTTCATAAAATACTTGAAATGAAAGCGAAAATTTCTATGAAAAATTGCACGAAATTTGTTAATTTATCATTAGGCAAGTAAATGTTATATATAAAATCAGGCATCTATATAGATATATATATATATATGTATATATAATCGTTTGGTGGCGCGCTTTTGACATCAGTTTTCGCTCTGGCTGTTTGTCAAAAGGGGCAAGAGAAAAACATTTTTGAAACATTTTTATGCGGCGACTGTCGACATAAATTTTGAGATATATATTTGAATTTGTGTGTAGACATATTCTAGAATATCTGAGCAAAACAGCCGCCCACATGCCTGGGTGGAAAAAGAAATGTTGGGCCCGTGCTTTATAGAAAATAAAGCAATAATTAAATCATCGAAGCGTCGCGTTCAAAATCGAATTGTTTCGAACAGGTGCCGCAGACGCAGACGACAGCAAATGGGCGGCAACAGTTGGCCAAGATTATTGAAATATATATATTGATTCACCCATATGCATATATATATATTATAGGATATTGTTAGTGGTTTGGACTAACCTTTGTCCCAGTTGACGCGTGGCTTGCCCTCCAGAGCGTAGGGCGTCTCGATCAGCTGGAAGCCATGGGACTGGATCAGACCCTTGGCCTCGGCAATCAGCTTGGCCTTCAGCTTGTCGGTGACACCCTTGTAGTGATAGGTCACCGAGATCTTCTTGTCCTCCACCCAGGCGCCGGAGCAAACGACCTGACGTATACAAATTTCAAACAAATTCTTAAGCACTTTGGAATTTCGATTCGTTTACCTTTTCCTTCAGCTCGGCGACCAGCTTGTTGTGCTTCTCCAGCAGCTCTTCGGGCATTTCGATCTTGAACTTCTTGCCGGAAGGATATTCAACCTCCAGACCATGATTGCCCGCATAGGTAACATTGGGGAATTTCAGATGGTTCTTGATTTCGCTCAGTTCACGGCCGGAGAACACAACCATGAAGATCTTTTCGTTGGCAGCTAATTTCTTGATGTTGATCTCAGTATCCTTGGGCATGACGGACAGCTCCTCGGTGAGAGGCGCCAGTGTGCCATCATAATCCAGCAACAGGACAACCTGATCCTTATCGGGCGTAATGAAACTAATCGCACAGCGTTAGCCATTTGGAGAACTCACTCGCATTGTACGCCGTGCACTTACCCCTCCAGAGCCTTCACGTAATCCTCCTCCTTTTTCAAGAGTGGTGCCTTCTTTTGCTCAGCCATTTTGCCTCTAGACTAGCAGACTAGTACTCTATATATAATATGATAAATCGTGCTGTATCTACCGGAAACTGTGCGACGTGCTGGACGTACCTCGACCGACTTAATACTAATGCCCAAGGCGCACCAACGCTAGCCCCATGCTGCACAACTATACTATACCATCCTCTATATGTACGAGAACAGCCCGAAATGTGCTCTCATCAATTCTCACAACAACTCTCCCCTGCTGATCGTGGCAACCCTGGTCGCCGTCTCCCGAGACTTGGCTAAGTAATGGTTGGCACGTTATTTATGAGGCATATGCGCATAAAAAAAGCACACACCATATTGGAATCACGTCTATGTGTGTGTGTGTGTGTGCTCTATATACTTATATATACATAGCAAGATCGTGTTCTATACGGTATATATACAGATATATATATATACATATATATAGAAAGGTGGGTGCTCAGCGAGTGGTTGGTGACCGTTGACGATGTCTTTAAGCACCTTCCTCTGAGGTCGTTGCTGTTCTTTGGATTTGCCTCAGTTGACACAGTTTTCAGCGGGGGTTTTTCTTTTGACTTTCCTTGACAGCTGGCTGCCAGAAGATTCATGCATTGATCGAATGCTAGGTATGCCAGTTGGGATTCCACAACTGTTGATGATTATCAGCTGATCAAGCTTTTTTTTGTAAGATTTCATTTCCTAAATATTACCTTTGCGGAGCTTTCGATTATGCACTTTGGCTTTGTAATATAAACAATGCAAATTGTTATGTTATTTATGTTTAGGAATCGGATATAGCCCACTTCTTAATTGCCTAAACATACATTAATTCTTTCAAGTGTGCAAATATTTAGTTAGCCATAAATTTAGATAGATAGATTTAGATAGAGCGAGAGAGGGAGACAGAGAGAGAGGGAGAAAGAGAGAGAGAGAGAGAGAGAGAGAGAGAGAGAGACAGAGACAGAGAGAGAGAGTGAGAGTGAGAGTAAAGGGAAAAAGACGAATATCATAGGAAAGACAATTTAAATGAGGGAGAGGGAAAGAGAAAGTAGCGAGAGAGAGAGAGAGAGTTATGGAGATACAAGGAGAGGTAAAGTAAATTTTAATGAGACTGTGGAGGAAACTACTTGCTTATATGCCGCTTATAGTTAGAGCATGAAAACTTGTAAAATTGAATGCTTACTAGAAATCATGAGAATCTCAGAGAAGGGCTCTACTGCATTTAGTTGCTAAATTCATGAGTATAAGTTACTCACATTTAACTGCTTAATATATATATATATATAGATAAGATCGATCATGTTTTTTAATTTTCTTAGATTGTCTTTCAATTTTCTCAATTTTGCTAGTTTTTCCAATAGTTTGAATAGAGAGTGAGAGAGAGAGAGAGAGAGAGAGAGAGAGAGAGAGAGAGAGAGAGAGAGAGTGCGAGAGAGAGAGAGACAGAAAGAGAATAAAGAGAGAGACAGTTTTTCCTTATAATAAAATATTATTAAATCTACTATATATATTTAGGTTTGCTATCAAAGTGAAGGCATTCATAAGGATTTACAATGATGTAGTTTGTATTTTTAAATAAAGACTTACAAAAAAAGAAGAATATGCTAACATAACCAATTTAAGATTTAAAGTAACTGATCAATTTTAACAAATTTGAATAATTTAATGAATTGTAAATTACAATAGCTAGAAATTCTAAGAGAGATAAACAGAGGCTATCCATTTAAACAGATCCGTCATCAGATCCTGTTTGGGCAAACGGAAATCCGCAAAGGTTTGCGTCTGTGCATCGGCAGCAATGCGGAATGAGAGTCCCAAGCCCTGGAGTACCTAAACAATTGAGTATACAGGGTAATTAATATATACGCCTTAAGATTGTTCGACAGTTATTTGGACTCACCCGCATGGCATCCTCATCGGTGGTATCATCGCCCGCGAACACCACAAGCACCTCCTTCGCCCAGGCATTGCCAAATTTACCATTCAGGATGTAGAGCGCTGCCTCGCCCTTGTTCCAATTAACTGGTGGCTTCGCCTCGATGGCCTCGTGCGCCAGATTGGCACGGAAGCCGTGACGTTCACAGATCTCGATAGCCAGCTGCTTTTGCTCATCCTTCAGCTCGACGGGCGTGTCGCGATAGTGATAGGTGAGCGAGACGCGTTTATCCTCCACCCAGGCGCCATTCTTTTCCAAGCGCTGCCTTAGCTCCTCCACCATGGCCGTGTAATTCCTCTTGACGTCAGCGGGCAGATCATAATCGTGACGCGAACCATCCGGATACTCAATTTCGAGTCCATGATTTCCTGCATAGGTGACCCCCTCGATGTTCACGTGCGCTTGGACATCCTTTAATCCACGGCCCGAAATCACAGACAGAAAGATTTGCGGATGCTTGGCCAACTTGTGCAGCAAGTTCTCCAGTTCAACATCCATTTTCGTCAGGCTGGGATTGTCCGTAATGGGCGCCAAGGTACCATCATAGTCCAGCAGTATGGCCAGCTTGGAGTGTGAGCCCAGGTAACTGGACAGAAAATAAATATTATGAGCTTTACTTTAATAATTTACGAAAAATCCGAGACATTGACTGATGATAATGAAATGTGATTGATGGAAGAACGATTAAACATGTAAAAATTATCGTATAAATAATATCGATTTTACAAATTCATAATAACAAATAATTGGAATTGATTGATGATATATATATATATATATATAGAGAAATATAGATGATAGATTGAAAATCTTTATATAAATAGAATATTTTAAAATGATTGTATAAAAAATAATGATTTTAATAATATATATTTCAATAATACATGTATGGAAAAAAACCCGGTCTTATTATTTATTTTAAATTCAATAAAAAGGCAATTTATAAGATGTTTGCTTTTTTTTTTGCCAAGATTTGGCTAATTTAGGGTATATAAATCGGAGATATTTTAAAATATGAACAAAGTTAAAGTCTGCCTATTTCCAAGCATCTTATTTGTGTATATTTCAGATAATATTATGAATGGAATATTATAAAGCACATCGGCTTACTAGATATCACAGTTAAAAGGATCAGAAGAAAATGGAGCTCCTTTTATAAAAACTATTTTGCTTTAGTTAAAGCAAAGCTGCTTAATTCCAACTAAATTTATACATTTGATCCAGAACTACTTTATCACTTAGATGCTTTGAGCAAAACCTTTGAAATAGTATAATTATATGAGCATAAAGCTGTTTGGCTGCTTGACAAGATTTAATCTGGTCACAAATAAACTTATTTGTTTCGAGTGCAAATTGTAATCTTTGTGGTATTGCAGTTGCTTTTCTGGCAGTGTATAGATTTGCTAGCTTGTCTACCTAATTCGGCTTATCATCAGCGCTCATTACATGACTTCCTCTCGCCAGCAAGGTCATATCGATAAGACTGCTGATGCCATCTCACTTACCCGGGCAGATTCTGTTCAAACTCCTCCAAACGGCTGATAACTGGTGCAATTTGTCTCTCCGGCATTTTGTCAGCTGTTGCTGTTGTTGTTGCGGTGTTCCACACGAGACTCGAAATGAGTTGCAGATATAAGAGCGCCGCTTGCACTGGAAGCGATAATTCTCAGAGAATAGATATTTTGTGGGCTCAGCCTAATGCTAATGTTGTCTCTGCGACGGCTCAGGGTGCACTGTGTGTAGCTGGGATAGCGCAGTTTGCTTTTTAAATCGGCGGGTTCGATGATAGTTCGTCTGGATTGATAACGAATATCTCGCGCTCAGCTCAAACAAGTTTTTCGATTTTCGCACTCGCTCTCTTTATGACTTGCGGCTTTCCGACTGTCTCAAATCAAGCCCTGAACTTACACTACTTGAGAATCTTCACACTGTGCGCTTCTGTTGCCGCCGACTTGAGTTTTTATAATAATTCGTTGTCGCCATTTCCTCAAAAAAAGTTTCGCGCATTGTCTTGTTTTGTTTTTGGAAAAACAAAGGCAACGTTTCCCCCATACTCTGGCTTGGCTCTCAGTTCCCCGCCGCACGCAATGCATCATGCGTCGCCTGCATGCCACACGAAGGGGCATTGCGCCCGCGCCCCAAGTTCGTTTCGTCAGAGCCATTTAATCCATTTCGTATTTAAGCATAAATTTTCCAATTTAATAACGCTCATAATTTTTCCATTCGTCTTATAAATTTTCCTCCTAACGCAGCAGGGGTTCCCCATGTGCCTGTCTGTCGTGTCCCCGAAGTGTGTTCAATTGTTTTCGGCACACAAGCAGGACGCATGCACTAACTGGTTTTGGCAGGTGTTATCTAAAAATAATCAGAAAACTCAACCCATTTCTAGGAAAGGTTTTCATGTTGTTTCCATAAGAGATATGGCTAGAGAAATGTACAAAATGCTTTGGATAATATCGTTTTCTATAGCAAAACTATGTTGTGTGCCCTTACAAATTTGATGAATTACTAGTTTGCTTATGAGCTACGATTGATTATTAGCTTAAAGTGGTAATAATGACGACATGATTTCATGAGGTATTCTAAATTTAGCACCTGTCTAAAATTAGAATAACTTATATGCGGGAGATTCCCTATAAAACATAAGCTGCTGGCTTATTGACGTCATGCACTAATCAGGTATAAATTGATAAAACACCAGCCCAGTTCGACTCTAACTGTGGACTGGGCCAGTGGATCACGCTGTCTGGTTGGGCTGCACGAGTGCCAAATCTGGCTGGAGCATGCCATAAGCGCATGCTCATGCTCACACAATCCCCTAGACCGGGCCAAGCTGTTTGCTCACGATATTTGACTGCAAAGGCGATAAATACGCGCATTTATTGGAGAGCCAGAAGGCGCCTAATCTAAAACAAACAGGTCGCTTTTCACATAAATAAAGGTAATCGTATATCGGCAGCCTCGAGCTGTCGAGTTGCCCAGTTAGTCATAGCTCCTCCGAGTGCTCCTTAGAGCAGACGGCTCTGAGTGCTAATATGAGTTAATTAAAACACGAGAAATTCACGCTGTCAACAAGTGTCTCTGGCCTCAGTCGCATTTCGAATATTATCACAATCAAATATTGTTGACATCAATTTTTCCATTGGTCATTGTAAGAAAATTTGCCACTATTAATCTTAAGCTATTCAAATGTTGTTCACTCACTTGTGATTGCTTTGATTAGTTGTCGCTATTTTTGGCTTTAAATATTCAAATGTTCAACTTTGTAAGCTGACAACGTAATTTGCATTTGTTCAACTCAATTGGTAAATCTATTTTCTTAACGATCTCATATGTTTTTGTTTTGTTCTGATAGCTTTCGCAGAGCTTTTTTTTTTTGCAAGACTATCTGTTTTCCAAACGAGCGGGCACCATAAATAGAAAAATCCATAAACATAAAATACGAAGAGAGAGCGCAAGTGCCTAAATGGCTAAGTTAAAGTGCGCACAGTGGGGCAAAAGAACGCGAACACGTAAAAGCGCAAAAATTAAAAACAGCTTTCCTTTAATATTTTCTCACACATAACGAATTTTATTTAATATTACGATCTTGCAGCTATGTTAGATAAAAAGTTTTCCATATTCAAATTTATTTGTTCAGAACTTTTTTCCATCGAGCTATATGAAATGTTAAGATATTGTTTATACCCAAGAAATATGGAAAAATTCACAAGATCCAAGTTTTGTTTAGATATTTTGAAAACAAAAAGTTGTCCAAGCAGCAATAAAATTTCGATCGGGCCGTTTCCGGCGACATTGCTTCATCGACTCGACTATTTAATTGATCAAGAATATGAATATTTATACATATATTGGTTGGTCCAAAGTCAGAAATGACTTTCTGCTTACATTATTTTTGGCTAGCAATTAGGTAAACAAGTTGTTTACTTGTAATAAGTGAATCGCTCTCTCAGTATAATAATGCTCTTTCTACTTTCTGACATGCACTAACCCAACCCCCAGCCATACCCCGATCGGTTTATATAATCTCCCTATCTTTATACCTTTTTGTCAGACTTGACAGTAGAATAGGTACTATTTGAACTATTTATATAAGCTTAATTCAAGTCGGTTCCATAATATCAGTAAAACCAAAAAAACATTACTTTAATGTTAATAAAACACTTTAATGCGTGTTTATAATTCAAGCAGCTCTTTAGGAGCAAAGTGCGTGTAACATGCTTTCTGGCGTAAAATAGTTTTATAAATTCCCCGTGCTGTTTTGCATTCAGGTTATTTTTAAACGATCCCAAAAATATGCTATCATTTTGTAGCTGACTTCATTTAGAATTTACTAAATTGTGTTACACTTAACTGTAGAATAAGTTGTATTGCAATTACACATATAAGTTTAATTAAAGCACTTCCCTAAATAGCAGTAAAAGATACAAATTTAAAAACTAAAAATATATCAACTGAATTGAATGTTTAAACTTTTACTATTAAAGTGAACATGTCTTATGCAAAGTGCTAGAATTAGAAAGGAAGTATTATTTGATCTTATGGATCTATTATCTTTTCTATATAAATTGGAATTAGATATTATAAATATATTTGAAGTTGTAGCCAAACAAACATTTTTGAAAACCTAAATATATTTATATTAATATATTTTTAAGTAGATTTTTACACATATTTTCTATTTAGCATATGATTTAATAGCTTGCTGATGGAATGGATATTGTTCTTCTAAGCGTCTTAAATTCAACAAAACATTGTTAATTATATTGAATATAATAATTAAAAGACTATTCAATCGGAGCAATAAGACAGGGAAGCAGCTCAATTAGGAACCAGTTTCTAAATAGATATAGATATAGATATAGATATAGAACGCATATCTTTGGTAAGTCGAAGATTAAATACCCTTGCATATCGATTCGATTTCCGATAAGTCTTTCAGTTGACAGCTGTTCGATGTTGATAAGATCTCACTATATAGGGTCAAGATATATAAACAAAAACTTAATTGTTGATTTTCCAGTAGAATACTAATCAAGATTATATATATACTTCACAAGAGATGACAATTAATTTAAGGCCCTCAACGATGCAATCTACGCGTATTATTTCGTCTTGATCGTGAAGAGCATATTAAGCCCTAACTGAAGATCCGCAAAAGTGCATATTTTATGTGGCACTAAGAATGACTCACAGCTGTTTTATGAATGCATCTAGTAGAACATCTGTAACCAGTTCTGCCTTCAAGCGAACTGGGGGCAATCCCCTCGATCTATATACCCAGACACGCCTAAGCGTGCGGCTTTTGTGACGTTTTGGTACGAACAACGCAGAATTGACAATCAATACCAAAATATCTGCCCTGGGCCTTGCTTATAAACACGCGACGGGTCGTTTGACGCTCTCAGACGCGTTTCAGTTTCAGAGTCAGTCGGACAAATTCTTGGCTGTCGCACACAAAAATATGGAAACTTCCCATTTATTCGGTTGGTTTTTTGTTTGAGTAATTGATAAAAAAAAAAACTTGAAATCTAATAGTTAATCAAATTACCGGTTGCAGCTTTGTTTTTGCTGCTCGCCGGGGTAAACGCCTATCCGCAATTCCCGAATTGGAATGCACCGAATCCCGACGACCAGCTGCTGAATACCTTCATCCGTGGGCAGCCGATTGGACCTTCCAGCTCCACGACAACGCCTCAGCCAACAACAGCATCGCCACGCGTCCTGGCCTGCATCCAATCCTGTCCAGCGACCAGCGAATATAATCCCATTTGCGGCAGCGACAACGTTAACTATTATAATGCGGGACGTTTCGACTGTGCGGTTCGCTGTGGTCAAAGTGCGTTTAATTCTTACGAATTTGCCAAAAAACATTAATTTAATAACTTGTATTTTTAGATGTTCGTCGTTTACACTTGGGAATCTGCAGCACAACGTAGAGCCAAGCTGAATGGGAATTTCAATTCTTCCAGTAACTAGTCTGTTCCACAATCTGCAGTTCAATGCTTAATGAATGACCTTTAAAAAAAAATATGTGAATAAAAACAAGCGTACACTAATTAGGCGACTGTGCTTGACCAACTGATACCCTGTACAAAAAATACAAAAAATACTTATGCATTTATATGAATCACTTAGCCAACATTTCGATTAAATACAGACAGAAAAATATCTTCTGTTAAATCTGTATTCCATATATGAAAGTCAACTAAGGCAAATCTTATTTTAAATAAATTTCAGTAATACGATATTCCAATTATAATAAAATATTAAAGGTAATTGGCTTAAAAACTGATTTAATAAGATTTTATAAAATTCGGCTTTGGATCGAGCAGCGTTTCTAATGCAAGTTTTAGCTACTATAATCAATTACATTTTGAACTTAAGTCGCGTCACTCAAGCTTAGTGCAAGGTGCATACCCAGCCAAGGCCATTTTATAGGGTATAACAAACAGATTAATCAACTGAGATTTCAATGTTCACACTCTCGCATTATTCGCCGCTTGTCTAATGTGTAAAAAACCGATGCCAAACAGTCGTAGTCTAAACGTTTTGCTGTCTGGTGCGTTTCAAGTGAGAGATTTACAAAACAAAATCAATAAAAAACACACAAAATGCTGAGGCCAGGGCTATTTCACATAGGCCGTAAGTTGAATATTCCCACAATTGATGTTGTTTTTCTTTACATATGAGTATCTACAGTGTTGTTGGTGCTGTTGGGCCAAGCGCTGTCCGTTGACTACTCCAATCCCAAGTCGCAGGTGGAATATATAAGTGCGCAGCCAGGAGACAAGCCCAACATTGTGCCAATAACGCGGCCTCCTTTGCTCAACCAAACACCGCCACCGCCGGAGGGCAACTCCAAGAATTTTGCATACAATCCCAAAAGTCAAACCTGGACAAAGATTGACGCGCACGATCCACAGCCGGATGAAGATACATTGGTCTGGAATCAAAGCAATGATAAATGGCTAACCAGGGTGCCGGGATCTTAACCAAGAACACGCAACAATATTCGCAAATACGCACGCAAGTTTCGATTAATTCAACACGACACGCACGAAAATTTATATCTCAAGCAAAGTGTTAATCAAATTATTTACTTTTATTTTCAATATATATTTAAAATTGAAAACTTCTGAAAACGTGTAGAAAATGCAGATTTATAAATACTCTTTTTAACGCACAATGCAAACAAACCGATAAAAATATCAATTTATCGATAAATATCGATTTCAGTCTTTGAAAAACATATCTTAGCCAATGCTTTTATATATAACAATGTTCGCTTTCTGATTTTTATAAAATATACGTTGTTTAATGTTGTTTGATACACTCTGATTCAAATCAAGGTAAATAGCTTTAATAGTTCGATAATTGATATAAATCGTTTCCGAGCGATTGTCTCAATAGCTTCTCTTAGACTAATCGATTCTTTGTAAAGCGGTAAATTGAAAATGTGGTTATCGTTAAAAATCGTTTGACGCTTTTAAAAGGAAGCCTTGCAATTGGACGCAACCGACTGCGTAATACTATTTCACAGCAATTGAGAAGTCGCGAGTCAATAAAAATTATATTGCTCTCGTCAAACGAGGTTGCAGCAAATGAAATTCTGTTGCTTAGTGTAATTTAGCATATATGATTATGTTTGCAGCTATTGCATATATTATACTTTATACGATAAATACAGCTACATAGTATACATGTTATTATGTCAACGATGATGACGCAGTGTCTCCGTTGTCGAGGCCGGCGTGGGCGTTTGCTGTTGCCTCATGCGGCACAGTTCGTTGGCGCTGTAGTTTAGCTTGCGCAGCGCAGTCTCCGTGAATTTATCAAACTTGGCTGTGAGCTGGGCAACCTGATCCTTGAGCACTTGCAGCTCGACACGCCAGTCGTTCGGCTTCAGTTCGTGCTCCTGGCGCAGCTGCTGCGGCACATTTGTAGCGGAGCGCGGACGCAGCAGCTCGTTTACCTGGAAATACTGGGTCTGCGTCGTGTACGGAGTTTCGAGTTGTTGCCGTTGTGGTGACGCCTTGGACTCCGCCCTGGAGCCCGGTGGCTGGCGCTGGCGCATACTGCGACTGAACATGTGGTAGTTCTTCTCGAACTGGCGCCGTCGCATGCTCATGTTACGATCACGTCGCTCCGCCACCAGCTTGTATATGTTCAGCTTGATGTCCTCCGGCAGCTGGGAGCGATCGCGCGGATCATTTGGACGCACTGTGAACTGTAGGCGGTCGCGCGAGGTGCGCAGCAGAGCCTTGCGCTTACAGTAGTCCACAAGTGGAGCATTGCGCAGCAGCCTGGAAAAGAAGAGACTCTCGAGGCGCGATATTAACTCCGCCTGTCGCACCAGTCGGTCCAGCGTGGCGGACACCTGCAGGCCCTGGATATCGCTGACGGCCAGGCCCAGCATCAGGTTGGTCAGTATCACCGTAACCAGCAGCACGAAGGCTAGAAAAATGATATGAGACGTGACTGGAAACTTGACCGCATAGTCGCCATAGAAGATATCCTCGAACTCCAGCTCGCCGGACATCATGGTGAATGACTTGAGGAAGGACCATGTTATATTCTCGAAGGCCGGATAGTCGTTGAAGAGCACCGCGAAGCTCAAGCCAAAAGCAATCAGCAAACAGATATATGCCATCAGGAACTTGCCAAAATTGACAGCGACTGCAAACGGATTCTGTTATTTCTGTTGCTGGAAAAGTTGAAACTCTACTCCATACCCTTGGTAAACATTTGCACATAGACGCCAAATATGGGAAAGCGACCCACCAGCATCATCAGCTCCAGCCAGACCAGCAGAATGACCACAGCAGCCACATGATGCTGCCACATGGGCACTGCCAATAGATCGCCGGTCCATAGTATTTCTGGTGTCTGAAAATAGAAGAATGAAGTGTTTATTTTTGGGATACCATAGATTAAGTATTACAGATTTACGAAATAACTTTCTTATCTTTAAGACCCCAATTAAAGAATTTTTTCAAAATATATCGCAAAAATCTTTTTCTTGGTTTTCCAATGTCACTAAAATGATTTAAAATATTGGGAGAAACATACCACACAGAGGAGCACACCGAAGACAATGGTCCATTGCAGCCAGTTTTCCCAGTACTTGGCATAGCCGTGCAGGCCGTGCGCCATTTGGAAGAGCTCCTTGCAGAGCAGCATGAGATTCAGGACAATCACAAAGTAGCCAATGGTGGTCACATAGTCGGGTGCCAGGCATGTCTCGCCCTCCTTGCAACAGCGCACATAGACACCGATTACGTAGAGGGTGAAGAGCATCACGAAGCAGGTGTGATAGGCGAGGCTCATGAGGAAGAACTTGCGTATGCGGCGCCACTTGAGGAATAGAAAGGTTTCGCATAGCGGATGCATAAGTATGCGCTTCTGGCCCACTTCGATGAGGCTCAACATTAGCTCCGCCTCGCCCTTCTCCGTCGATGAACTGGGCACAAGCAGATGAAAGTCCAACTTAATTTGGCAATCGACATCGCCAATCTCGTGATCATTGGCCTTGATCGAGCTGTCCAGCTTGTACATTAGCTTGGGTATTATCTCCGGACAACGCCGGACAATGAATGTCAGAGCCGTTGTGTGCCCGTCGGTGCGAGCCGTCAGATCTGCGCCATGTTCTGTGAAGATCTGAAGTTAGAAATAATCTCAGGCTATGCATATTACCTACCTATAAAGATGTAGACACAGCTGCTGAACTCGTTGAGGGCGGCAATATGCAGGGGCGTGTATCCATAGTCATCCGCCTTGTTGACATCGGCGCCGGCCTTTAGGAGCGCATTGCAGCAGTCCAGGCAACGCGACTGCTTCACGATGGCGGCATGCAGAGCGGTGCGCCCGTCCCGATAGACGGCATTCACATTGGCTCCGTGCTTCAGCAGAATCTCCACGCTGCTTATCGACTGGGAGAGGCAGGCCAGGTGCAGCGGCGTCTGTTGGCTGGCATTGCGACAGTTCACATCGGCGCCGTGCTCCAACAGCAGCTGCACACACTCCGCATAGTCATTCTCGGCGGCTGCACGATCAACCAAATGTCAGTTTGCACACTTCAAAGTAAATCCCAACACCCAACCCGCTGCTTACCCAAATGTAATGCCGTCACCTTGCCCTCGCCGAACTGGGAGCGCACATCGGCATTGTGATTCAGCAGCAGCTGAACGCATTTGGTGAATCCGGATGCGCAGGCGGTATGCAGCGGTGTCTCGGTGTACACCTGCGGGGTGTTCGGATCGGCGCCATATTTTAACAGAGTCTCCACACAATCGACCGCATCGCCGTCAATGGCATAGTGCAGGGCCGATCGCCTGTTGATGCCAATGTTGATATTCGCTTTGCGTCTCAGCAGCAGTAAAATGCACTCCACGCTTTTCGAACTGAAATTATCAGAGATTTGTATAGTTAGATTTCATCAGGTTCATTGTAAAGTTCATTGTAAATCCCAATAAAGTTGAAATTACAAAAAGCCGGGAGATATTTCATATTGTGTACATATTTGGATTCGATTCACCTGGCAGCGCAATGCAGCGGCGTCACTTCCTTCTTGTCCTCCCAGCGATTGGGATCGGAGCCACGATCGAGCAGAACTTTGGCTATGGCCGCATTGGCGCGACAACAGGCAAAGTGCAGCGGGGTGCGACCGCGGCTATCAGAGGTGTTTGGATCGGCATTGTAGTGGGTCAACAGGTATATGATATTCTCGACGGAGCCGTAGATGGCACAGCATATTAGCGCCAGGTTGCAATCGCTCGGCTCGATCATTAGCTCTGCAGAGTGGAAAGTAATGAAAAACTTAATTGCAAACTATTGCCAGACGCGCTCTCTCACCCAGAAAGCAACCGGATTTGACCATGTCCAGAATATGCGCGCCATTTGGCACCGCGCACAGCGTCTCCTCGATCTCCTGCGGCTGCCAGAGCACCTGGCTCTGCTGCTGGCGTGTGAAAATCTCATGGGCCTCATTGCTGAAGACGGCATCGCTGTTGGCCTCGCTGGAGATGCTGCGCTTATCAAACAGCAGATCCATATCGACCGTCTCGCTCTCCGACTGCCATTTCAGATCGTTTTCCTGCCAAGACAAATAAACGAAACAGAGTGCCAGGCAGAGATTGGTGTACGGGGGGATTGGTGGGCACTTACGATGATGGAAAAACGCACATTCTCCATTCTGTTGATGTGTTTACACTTTTGTGGCCTACAAAATAAACTAATTGGTTGACCATACGGCTTCTGGCCACAGCATTAACATCATATGTGTCCGCCAGCTCATTCATGCATTCTCCATCTCATGCCACATACATTTTCCGTTCCCGCCTGCAATCAATCTTTTGATCTGCCTGTCGTCATCTGCGCTACAGATTCGCAGCTTCTTTCTGGGTTGCTCTGTTTTTCTTGCCCCACGTATATGCTTTGTTTATTTGGAAATCTCCAAAATATTGAATTGCTTTTCAAACCAACACACGCTGTACGTGCAAATTATTACACCTCCGCCCCTTCTGCCTTGTCGATCCCGTTGCTGCCCGCTGGCTGTTCAGTTTTTCCAGCACTTCTACCGTTATTCGCGTTCCGTGCTCGACGAGGTGCTAATGTGTACTGGCTGTGGAAGCTGTCGGATCGAAATGCCTGCACCAAATTTTGCCTCATATATATATACTCTTTCTTGTGCTGTTGTATACCCTGTACTTATTCAAGCTGAGTACAAGAGAGAGTATAATTAAGTTCAACAATTTTCAATTAAAGAAAGTATCTTTGATTTCTCAAAATAAGTTGTTTGATTTTTCACCTATTTCTTGAAATCTATAGTTAGTTTGTCATAAAATGAAAAAAAAATCAGTATATTAACAGAATACATGCTATTCCTAACAATTTCTGACTAGAAGCTGGGGTAAAGTTTCCTAGAAGTAAGTAAAAACAATAGATGAGCGCAGCATTTTCTTATTTTTTTGTATTAATGTGGAGGAAAAATAGTTTCTTTTTTCAGTTCTATAACTCAACTAATTTTCCAATTTTCAATAAAATAAGTTTCTTCTGACTCCGATCACATTCGTATTTAGAGTATTTGGGGTTATAGACAATGGCAATCCTTAAATGGATCTTCGTTTCCGAAGCACTAGGTCTTTTCCGATAATGGACGGTAGAGGAAACACAATTAAAGGACGTAAAACCTGACGGGGGAAGGGCTTCTATTCTCATTAAAGTTAACATAGATGTGAATTAGTACATTTTTGTTCTTTCATCATGTGAAAGTAGAGTCACAGTGGAAGATTATAATGAAGACGCAATGAGGTGTCAGATGTGATTCATTCTATTTGCTTGGGAAACGAACATTTATGGCTACGTTCATGGCTTGCCCTGTTTATGGCAACGGCATCCCCAGCAATTGGCTCGTCACAAGCAGCTCTTAATTTCTTCTGCTATCCAGTTAGACAAAGAGATCTTTTTAGCCTTTTCTCTTAACACTGTGAGATGAGTAAACTAATTGTCCAAACTCAGCAAAGAGCTCAACTCTGTGCGCTTTACGCTCTTTATTTGCTCGCAAAGCTTCTGAAAGCTGCAAACTAGCGGCTGCCGTAAATAGAACTGTGGTCAAGAGAGCTGGTGCCAAATGGGAATACTGGGATGGCATAAAGTTGATAAAAGTGCCAGATCTGAATGGGAGCAGCGGAAACAGCACAAGAAATTAATATTCGATTTTTACTGAACTGATTTTTAAAAAAATTTGATAAAAACTATAATTTATATATCAAATAATTAAACTTTTAACGTTTTTTTTTTAAGATAATACATTAATACAACTTCGTGATAGTTGATTTTCACTGTAAAACTTTCATCTTAAAATAACAATTTAAAAGATTGCCCAAATTCTATTTATTGTTAAACTTCATTGAAACATGTCAATTACAATGAAATATATCCATATTACGGACAATTTAAGAATTTCAACATTTGTGAACACATATTTTTTTTTTGCAGCTCACAAGACACACATTTATCAGAGATTCTTAGGGCATGTCGAATGCTTTAAGTGATTGGCGACCTTGACTTTGATATTTGAATGTATCATTAATGTTTTTTGGGGTCTTGCGGAAACTACAACGGAAATTGTGTACAGGGTTAATAAATTATCGTGCTAGCTTCTCTCTATGAAAATTCAACACCTCGCACAAGCCGACGTACTAAAAAATTTTCATCTTTGCAAATTAGTTGCTGAAGCCGCAAACAACACGTGGACGGGGCAGGTGAGGAGCACACCTTTTGGCTGCTGCTGATGCGTAAACAACATGAATGCAAAGTGACAGGCAGCTATGACGACGCTGGCATTTGGCCGGTGAGGGTTAAAGGTAAGGGCCCAAAGCCGACCATCGCTAGCTTAGATAGGGTTAAGAGCAAGGGGGGCACAATTGCCTCGGGCAGTCAAGCGTAATGAATGCACACACGCAGCTCCTGCCAAAATTAATGCTCAGCCCGTGCCGAGGGGTAAAGCTGTGACATTCCCAACCTGTTGCCAATTGAGACGCGGCCGCACAGCCGCTTGTCCAAAGCAATTAGTGACAGGGACCCGACGCCCACAGCTGATTAACGGTGCCTTAAGCGAGTGTCCTAAAGGCTTATACCCTCTATCCTTATAATAAACAACATTCAGAAGATTTACAGATAAAGTTTCTAACAATAATATTTCATAAATGACATTAACAAATTTATAAAAACTTTAAATTTTCGAAAACCGACCTTATCTAGAGATATTTTGTAATATATTTAAAACAGAAAATATTTGCATCAATAAATACCTGAGCTTTTTTTAAAATATTTTAAAGTATTTAAAATTATCCTAAATCGAAAGTTGAGAGTTAATTCAAATTTATTTTAATTTTTAATAGATATTAAAGTGTACAAATTTCGCACAGTCGCATTGAGTCCGAGTTTCGCTTCCGCCAGGACAAGTTCCAGAGACTTCTGCATATATATTTGTATGTTAAGGATAATTAAGGTCGTGGTTGTCTCTATCCAAAACTCACAAACATAAATATGTACATATACTTAAGCGTTATGCACACATATCCTATGTGCTAGGCCATGTAGCCCGATGGGTAGCTTAGCAAAAAAAAAAAAAAATAATAAGAAAATACCTAAAATAAAAAACAGGCCACCTGCCGATGTCAACAGGTTGCCCTGCTGTATGTGTGTGTGTAAGTATTTACATTGTACGTGCGCTTGCGTGTGCCTGTGTGCACGTGTATTTAATTTGGCCGCCGACGTCTGTGCTTGGACTAACATTAGTCATGTAGCATAGACAGTGTTTGCATATTGACCCAAAAAAAAAAAAATAATATAGTAATATAAAACACGTGTGGGACAAACTTTGGCTGAAGGTCAGCCGAGCAAAACAACTCCCGCAGCGGTCAATTCGGCATGCCGTACGGCAAGTATTCATTTTTTTTTTTAATATATGCACTTTTATATTTACTATATAAACTAAGCATATTTTAATATTTTCTAAAATATATTCAAATCTAATTTAAATCCAATTGCAGTTTTTAATATTAACCGTTAAACGCCAGCTACTGTGTGCGCATGTAACAGGTGCTGTTATGCTGGCCAGCAGCTTTTAACATGCTGTTAACAGCCCAAAACAGCTATAACATGCTGTTAAACGGTCAAAGATGCGCGCTGTTTAGCGGGTTTTCAGCTAAAAGCTAGCTGAACTGTATTATTGAATGTCTGGAACTAATCAATTATGCAGTAAATATAATCATTAAACATAAAGAAATCATATATATATATATATATATACATATATAAAATATAAATAGACAGCAGATATGTGTGCATGCATATGTCTGCTAGCAGACTGATGCTAACTGTTGCTGCCGCTGTTGTTGCTGCCGGCATTGGTTGAAGTGTTTTTGTTGCTGCTGTTGCCGATGTTTATTCGCCTGTTTCAACGCCAGCGCAACGGACGCGTCGTCGCTTTGCCGCCAAACTCCCCATTGTGGGAACTGTCGTGTTGCCGCCGCTATTTGACGTGTTGTTGTGGGCGTGCTGTGCACTTCCGTGTGAAAACTCTTTTGCATTTTACAACTGCACGAGGGGGCCTGTGGGTGGCGACCGTCTCCCCATACCCTGCAGCTGTCCAGCGCTCTCTAGTTGACAACGCCGCGCAGTCGCCACACGGTTTCCTTTTTGTTTTTGTTTTTATATTTGTTTTTATTGCTGTTGCTGCTGTTGTTGTTATTCTGCTGTTGTCGGCTTGTTGCGGATTTTCATTATTGTTTTACAATGGCCTTTTGGCCGCGTCGCAATAAGCAGGCATCGGCATCGGCATCGACATCGGAACTGCTTGGAGGGGGTAGTTTAAGCATGTGCATATAAAAGCATAATTGCTGTGTGCCTTTGGCTTAATACGCGACAGGAACTTAAGCGCGAAGGTTCCTCCACCAATCGAAAAGTAAAACAAAAATAGCAATTGATATAAATAAAATGAAATAAAATACGGGCAGCACATAAACAAATTTCGAAAGTGCAAATTAATAAATAATTTCCTGTTGCAGTCAAACGGTGCGTATACTTAATTTACTTCATGCGTGTGTGTTAAAAAAAAGACTAAAATGTAGTATAAAAACAAACACTTGATTGACCAAATAAACAATATATAATTTCAAAAATATACGATGCGTGCATTCTATTAAATTTATAAACAATTAAAAGGCGCACAGTGGCGTCGTTAACGTCAGTTTGTGGGGGATTCGAGTATGACTCTAGCTGCAAAATTGTCAAAATTATTTAATTTAGTAATATTTTAAATATTTAGAAAAATGCTGCGTTCTACTAAGTGTATACCCCCTTGAGACGCCTCTGGCTGCTCAGTTGTTTACATGTTAGCACCACAAGCGACCTCGACTCGTGGTTTCTGCCCTGATCATAACTTAACCAAATATGTTTGACCCTTTCATAATTTTTGTGCTACATGCAGGCATAATTAGCTATTTGTGTATATACATGCTTACAACATAGAAAGCAATTAGAACTAGAAAACTGTTTCAACTTGTATCTGTTGTTTATTCAAAAATATCTATAAAACAAATTGCGAGGCAGAATTAAATAAAAACTTGCTTGTGAAAAAACTTTCCATTTTAGAATTCAAATAGAATATAGATATGGAACAAAGAGTATTAAGGCTTTCACATTCAAAGCAAAAATATATTTTTGCTCTTGTTAATCATTTTAATTAGCAGAAGATAGTTTCGCGTATTTCCGGAATGACTTTGAAAAATATTTGAAATAAATCAAATTAAGCAAAATTGTTGATGTCTACAATGCGCGCGCTTGTAGATTTGATTTGTTTGATTTGTTTTAAATTTGGCCGCAAGGTCAGAGGAAAAAAGTGAAAAGCCAATTCGTTGCAAGACCTGACGGCCAATGTGTGGCTGTGCGGCCAAGTGTTTGCCACGAGCCAATATAATGTGTGGCAACTTGCAAACAGCCCAAACCACTGTCATAAAGCTACTTACTAGCTAATAGCACCACCCAACATCGGCGTGTTGCTGGCCCTTACTTGTGGCTTTTATATGAAAAGCCACAAACAAAAGCGCTTACGTTTTTATTGCCCTGCA